TTCTCTGTGTGGATCACCATTGGAGGCTGGACAATTGGACAGCTTGGATTGCAGATCGTGATCATTGGAGTTCAAGAAAAAGCAAAAGAGTTTGTGGAATTCATCAAATGTATCATTCTCATCACAGTTTCTATCTAAACACATTGCAGATCCTCGTTTGGGAATTGAAAATTGTTTTATTTTCGCTGTGCATCTTAAGTAAATTCCCAACATGTTCAATATAATTTTAACAGGTAGGAGACTAGGTTAGAGTAAAGGCATCTGTTTCCTCCCCGAAATATGGGTGGGAGGACATAAGAAGGAACAACATTGGTATTATTCATTGTTTGGAGGAGGATGGTGATATGGAAATTGTTGTTTGCTTCAGGAGCAAACTTTTCCGCTATTCTGCAACAGATGTGGAGAAGGTTCCCTCTTTTGAAGTGGGACAAGAGATACACGTGATGCCTTCTGTTACTCAGCCTCGACTTGGATGGTCCAATGAGACACCAGCTACTGTTGGAAAAATTGCAAGGATTGACATGGACAGTGCTTTAAATGTAAGCTGGTTCTGTTCTTGGTTGCTTATCTTGCGTTAGGTTAAGGACAGGATGTTAATTATGATCATCTACTAGATTTGTTTCCAACTCATTGTCAAGTTTGGTAGGAAGTTACTGATTTAGCCCCTATTTGATGGCCATTGTTTGAAAACTCTTTTTTCTACACTCATTTTCAATGTGTTCACTGTAAAATATTCTACACATAACCCAAAACTTTTCCCTACTTATTAGCTACACATTCTCCTAAAAATCACTATTCAAAACATTGTTTTTTCCAAATAATGGCCATCAAACAAGGACTTTAGAGTTGAGGAATGAGGGTTCCCCAACTATAATAGTATTTAGAACACAAAGTAGGATGGCTTTTTGATTCAAGCAATTAAGTCAAACTTTGCTCCTGCTAATGATATAATTAATCAACTAAGAAAAACTAGTATCATTAATGTGCAACTGATGGCAATTTAGAGCCTTCTCTATAATAGAAAGCAGAGTTTCTATCTGAAAGACACGTTGGCTCAACTGAACTTGTTTGATTTCAGACGTGAAAATACTTTTCTACCCTTTGAATCAAAGGTAAATATGTGGAATCATTTATGTTTACAAAATGTGATATAATTGTATTAATTATCAATCTACAACTTCGATTCTCTTCCACGAAGAAATGTGGACAGAGTTAATTTTATTAGATCTTTTGCTACATCAAACAATCATTTGAGTGGAGTCCCAGAAAATAATTTTTGTAGTTGAACCTAAATTTAATGGAATAGACCTTAGTTTGTTTGTCCCATATGTGGCTCTATGTTCTGTCCCCAAGGTTTATACTTTGTTTTCCATCATATCATATCATTTTCCTAACAGGGTCTCTCCCTTTTTAGGTAAAAGTTGCTAGAAGACATAGTTTGTGGAAAGTTTCTCCTGGAGATGCAGAACGGCTTCTAGGATTTGAAGTAGGGGTGCGCTCGAAACTAAGCCTAGGGACTAGGCCAAGTTGTGATTGGAACAGTATTGGGAAAGAAGGTTTAGCTGTTGTGCATAGTATACAGGATACTGGTTATCTAGAATTAGCTTGCTGTTTCCGTAAGGGAAGGTACCAAACCCATTATACTCATGTTGAAAAGGTTCCTGGTTTTAGGGTTGGGCAACATGTAAGGTTTCAAAGTGGACTGGTTGAGCCAAGATGGGGCTGGAGAGGTGCTCATCCTGATTCTCATGGTGTTGTAGCCATTGTCAACGCTGATGGACAAGTGAGGGTTACATTCTTAGGTTTACAGGGGTTATGGAGAGGAGATCCTGCAGATCTTGAAGTAGAGCAAATGTTTGAAGTGGGAGTGTGGGTCAAACTGAAAGAAAATGCGAGTAGTTGGAAATCTATTGGCAAGGTAGCATTGGCGTTGTGCAAGGGATTGGGTATGAAGGAAATGAATGGAATCAAAATAGTTTTGTAGGATTCTGCGGAGAGCAAGAACTATGGGTAGGAGATTTTTCATATCTTGAAAGAGTTGATAAACTCATGGTTGGGCAGCGGATCAAAGTTAAGAACTCTGTTAAGCAGCCTAGGTTTGGGTGGTCAGGACACGACCATGCAAGTATAGGGACCATATCAGCTACTGATGCAGATGGAAGGCTGAGAATATATACACCGGCTGGCTCGAAAGCTTGGGTGCTCGACCCTTCTGAGGTGGAGATATTTGAGGAACATAAATTTCATGTTGGAGACTGGGTAACGGTTCTGGAAAATGTTTCTACTCCTACTCACCAGTGGGGAAATGTATGTCACTCAAGCATTCGAGTGGTGCACCATATAGAAGATGAAGTATCTTTGGGTGGCTTTCTGCTTTATGGACAAGTTATGGCTTTGTAAAGCATAGGAAATGGAAAAGGTCAGACCCTTTAAAGTTGGAGACAAGGTGAAAATCAAAAATGGATTAGTGATGCCTCGATGGGACTGGGGTAGGGAGACACGCAGGTAAAGGTGAGGTGGTAGGAGTAGATGCAAATGGGAAGTTGTGGATTAAGTTTCGATGGCGAGAAGGGAAGCCGTGGATGGGAGATCCTGCTGATATTGTTCTCGACGAGAACTCACCCTTGCCAATTGGTGCGTCATGAAAAAACTCGAGTCAATTGGAGCTTCAGCCATTGGCTTCTCAACTCACTGGGGAAGCAGAAGCGCTGTAAAAGCCACAAGATTAACATTTGGCCGAGTTGAATGCAATTAGTGAAGTGGAAGAAACGAGAACCAGACATCTGTTTAACTATTGACAAACAGAGGGAGAGACTAGAAATGATGATAAAAAATGAGAAATCAGGGGATCAGCTCGGAGTCAAATGCTTTCACAGATATGCTGATCATCAGTAATTTTTCTCTGTGTTAGTGATAGTGATAGAATTGGGATAAAATGGCTTCTTAAAGAGTCTTTCAGTGACCTAAACTGTTAGCAGGTAACCAGTACATTTGATTAGTCTTTTGATGTTCTCAGAATGGTGCATAAATTATCTTGTTGATACCTGTGAATAAGTAACATATCATATCAGTATGTAAAGAGCTGAGGGTTTTGTAGAACTCATTTCCATTGACAACTTTAAAGGAGAATTTTACGACTTTGGTTGGTGAATTATGGTTAACTTTTGGTTTAGAACTTGGTGTTTATGTCCATATGCACTTGCATGCAAGCTTATTGACCAATTATATGCAAGTACGCCTGCACACGTGCTCATGCATATTGACCAATACTCTTTCAAGGAGATATCTTGTGTACTTTTGAGTCTTGAAAGGCAGAAGTTCCCCATGTAATCTATTACATCTCAAATCCCATACCTATTTGGTCATTTGAGGGATATATCACAAGTTCAATGTTACTGAACAAGGCCTTGAATGACATCAAACATGTCAAAAATTATAATATAGCAACATTACCACTTAATGCATTCTTACACTCATCTCAAGTCCCAAAAAAAAAAAAAAAAATCCAAAAGAAATTTGATGGAATGGAGTGCTAGAATTCTCGAGTAAGCGTTGTGACCCTCAAAACATGTTTAATACATTTAACTAGATAATGTTATATATAGTAAGGTAACAAAGTTATGTAACAAAAGTGTGATAGATATGTTCATTATCTCGTTAGTGTTGTTCTGAGCATGTATTTATCATCTTGCTTGCATAAACAACCATTATTTTCCATTCATTCGACCAAGATAGATTGTCCTTAAGAGTTAAAAAAAAAAAGTTCCTTTTTTCACAAACCAAGAAAGAATCATGGGAAAAAAGCATGGTCAAATGGAGGGTGGAGATTGATTTCAGTGCATTCTGACGTTGAGCAAAAAGCCCACCAACTTAGAATCCTCATCGTCTGATGCAAGGTATGTGGCTAGGCAGCCTAGGCTGGTGATGAAATCTAAAGATATAGACACACATGTTTGAAGATCGTGATGAAGAATAATAGGTGCAAGTTGGTGAAATTTTATAATATCAAGTCATCATATCTTGTATTTCTTCTGCCGAGATACTAAGCATAGATGAATCTATTTATGCCCATTATCCTATATATAAAACTTTTTCCCAAATACCTTATTGTTGTGGTATAAGATATTTTTGGTTATTTTTCCATGTAATTGTGCATTTCAAAGAAGATTCTTGGAAAGACTTTGGTGGTTATTAATCTTAAAATTTATAATCTTGATTTAATTGAGTTATTATGCCAAGTTTATTAACTTGAAAAATTATATTATGTACACCTAGAAGTCCCAACTAAGTCAACACCACTTTAACACCCTTAGCCCTTGTCTGGTGAAGATTTTAAGCTGCCAAAAAACTGATTTTATTACTGTTGGGTGTGCAACGGTCAAATAATCAACAAAGTTGCTGAGAGAGAAAAGTCAAATATGGTGGCTTAACGGCTGAAATTTTGATTTCAAGCGATCCTAGACAGGGCCTTATTATCTATTCATTCCAACATTTTATTAATAATGTTAAAAAGATTAATGATAGGAGAGATGATGCTAGTAGCTCTTAATATCAATGCATTCGCAAGTCTAGCATCAATGAAGCATAATATACACTGCGGGAACAAAAAAGAACTCCTTGCTCACAAAGTCCACTCTAAGTACGGAAGACCCTGCCATGCCATAAGCAGCAAGTCCCAAATTCACAAAAGTTGATCCATCGCTAGATGAGGAAGGCACCAGATGACCTCCAAAACCCGAGGGGTCTTACTCTTAGGTAGTCAACCAGAGAGACAGAGAGATGAAACAACAAAAACATAACAAAATATTTAAATTAATATTTTTTTATAATCATATCAACTAATATTTAGCCTTTATTAATAAGGTTGAATCCTCCAATTAATCAAAAACAATAATTCAAACCCTAAATCCGAACAGTGTATTATAGGAATATATTAACATATTATTTATCACACTCCCTAATACGAGAATGAAGATGAATTGAAAGGAATAATTGTTATTGATTAATTCTTCTTATGTTTACAATGAATATGGAACATATTTGTAGTTGTAGAATAAACCTATACATGGAAAAATCTATACATGGAAGAGAATAAACGTATACAAGGAAAATAATAAACTTGATTTTGTGTATATTGCGTAATACTCCCCCTCAAGTTAAAGCATGGAGGTCTGTAATACCCAACTTGGATCGAAAGAAAACAAATCATTCACGTCATAAGGGCTTAGTAAAAATATTAGCTTGTTGTTGTTGAGAGGCTGGGACGTTGGAGGGAGTGAGTAGACCATATTGAATTTTTTTCACAAATCAGATGACAATCCAATTCAATGTGTTTGGTGCGTTCATGAAAAATTGGATTTCGAGCGTTGTGAATAGAAGCATGGTTGTTACAGTGAAGAATAGCAGGCTGAGAGTGGGGCACAGTAAGGTCGTGCAAGAGGAGACGAATCCAAACAAGCTCACAAGTGGTGGTAGCCACAGCACGATATCCAGCCTTAGCGGAAGAGCGAGAGATAATAGGTTGCTTTTTCGTGCGCTAAGAAAATGGACTGTCACCTAACTTGATGACATATACAGTGGTAGATCAGAGTGTAACTGGACAACTAGCCCAATCAGAGTCACAAAAAGCAGAAAGCTAGAAGCTGCATGTGGATGAGAAGAAGAGACCATAATCAGGAGTGACCTTTAAGTAGCGGAGGACACGGAGAGCTGCAAGATAGTGAGGTGCACGAGGAGCATGCATGAATTGACTGAGAACATTGATGGCGAATGTGAGATCCTGTCGAGAAACTGTCAAGTAGATCAATTGACCAATTAAACATCGATATGAACTAGAATCAGTTAAAGGTCACCATTAGAGTTAGTAAGTTTGACATGTTGCTCCATAGGAAAGTAAGCAGGGGGTGATCCTAGTTGACCAGAGTCTGAGAGAATATCCGAAGGATATTTTTTTTGATTAATGAAGATGCCAATAGGAGAATGAGCAACCTCAATTCCAAGAAAATACTTGAGATCACCGAGATCTTTAATCTTGAATGCATAAGCAAGATGAGATTTGATGGAAGTGATGACAAAGAGATCATTCCCAGCTACCAAAATGTCATTGACATATATAAGAATAGCTGTGAAAATCGTGCCCTGGGTTTTGGTGAAGAGACTATGTTCAGCGAAGGATTAGCCAAAACCTGCAAGAGTGAGAGTGTGAGATAATTTCGAGTACCATTGCCGAAATGCCTGTTTGAGACCATAGATATTTGAAAACAAGACATATGCATGTCTCTCCCTGATGATAATACCCTGGTGGGGGTCTCATATATACTTCCTCATCAACATCGCCATGGAGGAAAGCATTATGAACATCCAACTGGTGTATGATCCAATGTTTAGCTGCAACTATTGCAAGGAGACAACGGACAGTGACAAGTTTAGCCACATGTGCAAATGTATCAAGATAATCAAGACCCTCTACCTGAGTGAAACCTTTGGCAACTAAACGAGCCTTATGGCGTTTGATAGAATCATTCACACGCAATTTTGTTTTGTAGACCCATTTGCAACCAATATCCTTCTTACTTGGAGGAATGGTTTCAAGGGTCCATGTTTGGTTAGCCTCCAAAGCTTGAATTTCAAAAGCCATTGCTTGTTGCCAATGGGGCTCAAGAACAGCTTGAGAATATAGAAGAGGATCCTGGATGTTTTTCGAGATAGAAGATAGAAAAGCAAAATGTTTGGGCTAAAGAAACGATAAGCGAATTTTATCATAAACAGGATAAATGTGTGGGGTTTAAGTATAGCCGATAAAGATGCAAGGTGTAGCGCAGGGCAAGAATTTATCACGATAGATTTTTAAAGTGTGTGCATAACAAAGGCATCCAAACACGCGAAGATGATCATATATGTGGCCCTTTTGAAAAAGGAGCTCATAAGGAGTTTTGTGGTGGAGATAGGGAAAGGGGGTGCGATTGATTAAATAAGTAGCAGTAAGTATACATTCGCACCAAAAGGAAATAGGTAAATGGGCATGAAAATGAAGATACTGAGCCACATTTAAGAGATGTCGATGTTTTCGTTCAGCCACACCTTTTTCTTGTGGTGTTCAACACAAGTTTGTCCATGAATTATGCCATGATCAAGAAATTTTTTTTGCATGCGATGTGAAAGAAATTCTTGACCACTATCAGAACGAACATGTTTGACAGAACAATTAAATTGTGTGTTGACCATTTTAATAAAAGTGGTGAGACAAGAAAGTGTGTCTAATTTAAAACGCATTAGGTATTCCCAAGTAACATGAGAAAAATCGTCAACAATAATGAGAAAATAATGTGCACCAGATGTAGATGGTGTAGGATAGCCCTCCCAAATATCACAATAAACAAGATGAAATATGGAATCACTTT